AAATGTTATACAATTTAGGCGAATTCAAGATCCAGGGTTATTCGCGAACGGGGTTGATTTTTAGCGGAAAAAATAACACTTCCAAGTTTCGATCATCTTTAGAGTCCAGACTCTTTGACGTTGATAGGATTAAGCTGAAACATAGCTGTTAATATAGAACATACTTGGAGTATTTTCTTGAAGGTTACCTTTATTACCATAGGCAGATTGGAATATTTAAAATTCCTAAGAGAGTGGGCATCAAGAAGGGTGTCTGAACTGGTGTACTTTTTGATTGATCCTATACCATGAATTGATATTTCTGATGTTCTGTGTCAAGAGTATAAGCTCGAATAACCACCTCAATATATACCGCATGTGGTATTACTAATGCTTTATACTTTACAGACCTTTTAATAGAACCAATCAGGTGATTTAATCTCGGCATATACTCGGTGACCATATATTATATATATATATCACTTGTGTCTTTGTGTCACAGAATTGAAAGCATTTGAAGCCGCCGTGAAAAATATATTTAAAAGACACAGTAAATCCATATTATACACTTTTAGTTCCGGATAAGATATCAATAAAGAAACTAGACATACCTTGTCGCTGAATAACATTTATTGGCTATCACACTTGCTTAAAAAGTTTCAAAACAATATTACAACGATGTTACCAACTGTTAATTTCCCCCCATCCAACTCCTCCGATCATAGGGATAACCCAGATATATCAGTCAAATCCAATACATTTGATGAACAAAATAACTCAAAATTACCTTTATCTGCCCCTCAAAGTGTTATAGGCGCTACAGATTACAATCCTAGCTCGTTGAATTTTTCACATTCATTACCAGGTTCATGCAATTTTAAATTGGTCGCTACTACAGGTGTTGTTGTTAAAAAAAAAGATTTACGCTCAACAATTTTAGATGATAGTCAAAGTTCAATCATCAATTTAGAGCAAGACTACGAGAGTGATTCCCATGATATAAATCGAGATTGTTATGACAAAAAATTGGGTTCATCTTCCATCAAGAAAGAAATAATATCAAGTTCATCATTAGAAATTGAACGCTACAATAAATCGACCTTGAATATCTCAAATGTTTCAGGAACTTTGAAAAATGAGACAGATATATTAGAACAACCATTAAACCACCTTAAATTAGAAAATTCTGATCTGGAGAACAACAATGATTTGAGCTATTTGTCAGATTATTTTCATGGTTATCACCATGCAACATGGTACGTATCGAACGCTAAACAAACTGCTAGCTACTTTGTTAATTGTTTTGGATTCGAAGTCATTGCATACAAAGGTTTAGAAACCAAGTCTAAAACTTTAGCTGCTCATGTCGTTAGAAATGGTCACGTTACTTTTGAGTTTGTTTCTCCATTATCTCCTGCTTCCAAATCAGGGGACAAAGAAGAGAACAAAATATTAGCTGAAATCCATGAATTCATCAAAAAGCATGGTGATGCAGTGAAAGATATTTCCTTCAGTGTTACAAATATCGACAGGATTTATGCAAATGCAATAAAACAGAATGCGAGAGGGATCCAAAAGCCAACAACCTACACTGATGAAAACGGTGCAGTTAGAATTGCAATTATCGAAGTATTTGAAGATGTTCGCCATACTTTGATTGATACTTCTCAAGGTTATAAAGGTGATTTCCTCCCAGGATATGAGCCAAAGAATAGTTCAAAAAACAACACAACATCCTTATATTATCCAATAAAATTCGAAAAAATTGATCATTGTGTCCAAAATGAGGACTGGAATAATCTTGATATAGCCTGTGATACATACTCCAAGATTTTTGGATTTCATAGATTTTGGTCTGTTGATGAAAATCAAGTCTCAACGGAATATTCTGCTTTACGCTCAATTGTTATGGCTTCAAAAAATGAAGAAGTGAAAATGCCAATCAATGAACCCGCATTTGGTGTTTGTAAATCTCAAATTGAAGAGTTTATTGAGTTTCATGATGGTTCAGGAGTACAACACATTGCACTTTCAACTTTAAACATCATAGAAACTGTTTCAAACTTAAAGGCTAGAGGTGCTGAGTTCATCAAAGTCCCCCCAGCTTATTATGATAAACTTTCATCAAGACTTGAGAAAGTCGGGTTAAAACTCAATGAACAATTATTTGAATTAAAAAAACTAGGAATTTTGGTTGATTTCGATGAAAAGGGATACTTGTTGCAATTATTCACTAAGCCATTGAGTGATAGACCAACGTTCTTTTTAGAAATAATTCAAAGAAACAATCATAATGGTTTTGGTGCTGGTAATTTTAAGGCTTTGTTTGAGACCATTGAGAGTGAGCAACGACTCCGCGGAACTTTGGAAAAGTAGAGATCGATAAATATATATGCTACATGGATGTAGTGCCACATAGAAGATATATTGGTTTTATAATTTTAGATAGATTGTTGAAATTGAAATTGTTATAATGTTTTGCTATAGTGTTGTAATGTTCAACTGAAGTATGTTGAATACCCGTAACGAAATGTCAGCAAATGAGAATTCGCGAACATGTCACCCGTCACCCGCCACTGACGTATCCTCTTTTTTCGACTGATCAACCTTTACAAATTCTCGATAATAACAATAAACATCAGTCATTCAGATCCTTTAATAAACCGAATTGGAGATTCAAACGGATACGTGAATAAATTGCATTCCTTCTTAACGCAGATTACAAGCTCCCTTTGATTTTGCTGTGCTGTTTGACTGTTTGTTTATTATCTTCTGGTTTTCAATCGTTGCTGTCCTTTTTGTCCGTTAATTGAGAATTAATAACATAATTATACAATAGACTCAAAGATAATTACAAAGATATGCCTAACGCTGGGTAAGTATGAGAAATCATTAGTAGCCATTACATATAATATAGATTACTAACAATTCTGAATTTAGAGGTTCACCGATCACTGTAAAGATTGTTGCAGCTGAATCTTTATATAAAAGGGATGTGTTTCGCAGTCCAGATCCATTTGCTGTTTTAACTGTTGATGGTTCCCAAACTAAATCTACATCAGCTGCAAAGAAGACTTTAAATCCATATTGGAATGAAACATTCCAATTTCAAGCAAATGAAAACTCAATTCTCGTCATTCAAGTATTTGATCAAAAAAAATTTAAAAAGAAAGATCAAGGATTTTTAGGTGTTGTTAATGTTAGAATAGGAGATGTCATAGATCTTAATCTAGCAAATTATGAAGAGACAATAACAAGAGAGTTGAAAAAATCAAATGATAATATTGTTGTTAGTGGAAGATTGATCATTGTTATTTCACATAATGCAAATAGCAGCAACAGACCATCGAGACCTGTATCAACAACGGGTGCTTCAAATGTCCAACAAACTTTACAAACAGGAGCAAATACTTCAAGTACAAATGGTAGCTCAGCACCACCAGCTGCCTCCACAGTAGCAGGTGGTACCTCATCGGCTGCTGCCAATAATGCTAATAGACAATATTCATCATTTGAAGATCAATATGGTAGATTACCACCAGGATGGGAAAGAAGAACTGATAATTTTGGTCGTACTTATTATGTTGATCACAACTCAAGAACAACAACATGGAAAAGACCAACATTAGATCAAAGTGAAAGTGAAAGAGGCCAACAAAGACAAAATTTGACAGATGCTGAACGTAGACAGCATCGTGGAAGAACCTTACCAGATGATAGACCACAATCCCCAGGTGCTCCAAATAATATTACTGTCAATACAACAGGTGGTACCCCAGCTGCAGCTGGTACTTCTGCTGTTTCAATGGCTGCCACAGGTGCTACAACTGCTGGGCTAGGAGAGTTACCACCTGGTTGGGAACAAAGATTCACACCAGAAGGAAGAGCTTATTTTGTTGATCATAACACAAGAACCACTACATGGGTGGATCCAAGAAGACAACAATATATTAGAACTTATGGTGCAAATACCACAGTACAACAGCAGCCAGTTTCACAGTTAGGTCCATTACCAAGTGGATGGGAAATGAGATTAACAAACACTGCAAGAGTTTATTTCGTTGATCATAACACCAAGACAACAACTTGGGATGATCCAAGATTACCATCTTCATTGGATCAAAATGTTCCACAATATAAGAGAGATTTTAGAAGAAAAGTTATATATTTCAGATCACAACCTGCATTAAGAATTTTACCTGGACAGTGCCATATTAAAGTTAGAAGAGATCATATCTTTGAAGATTCTTACCAAGAGATTATGAGACAAACACCAGAAGATTTGAAGAAGAGATTAATGATCAAATTCGACGGTGAAGAAGGTTTAGATTATGGTGGGGTTTCTAGAGAATTCTTCTTTTTATTATCACATGAAATGTTCAACCCATTCTATTGTTTGTTTGAATATTCTGCTCATGATAATTATACATTACAAATAAATCCAAATTCTAACATTAACCCAGAACACTTGAATTATTTCAAATTTATTGGTAGAGTTGTTGGTTTAGGTGTTTTCCATAGAAGATTCTTAGATGCATTCTTTGTTGCTGCATTATACAAGATGATGTTACACAAAAAGGTGATATTACAAGATATGGAAGGTGTTGATGCTGAATTTTACAGATCATTAAAATGGACATTAGAAAATGATATCGATGGAGTGTTGGATTTGACATTTAGTGCAGAAGATGAAAGATTTGGTGAAATAGTCACTATTGATTTGAAAGAAGGTGGTGCGGACATTGAAGTCACAAACGAGAATAAGAAAGAATATGTGGAATTAATTACAGAATGGAGAATTTATAAACGTGTTGAAGAACAATTCAAGGCGTTCATGGATGGATTTAATGAATTGATACCGGAAGATTTAGTCAATGTTTTCGATGAAAGAGAATTAGAATTATTGATTGGTGGTATTGCTGAAATTGACGTTGAAGATTGGAAGAAACATACTGATTACAGAGGTTACCAAGAAACAGATGAAGTTATTCAATGGTTTTGGAAATGTATCTCTGAGTGGGATAATGAACAGAAGGCCAGATTGTTGCAGTTCACAACCGGTACTTCCAGAATTCCTGTCAATGGTTTCAAGGATCTACAAGGTTCTGACGGTCCAAGAAGATTTACCATCGAGAAGGCAGGTGAATCAAATCAATTACCAAAATCACACACATGTTTCAATAGAGTTGATTTACCACCATATACCGATTACGAAGCTATGAAACATAAAATGAGTTTAGCTGTTGAAGAAACTGTTGGGTTCGGTCAAGAGTGATTTTTATGGTTGAATGACAAATGATAAATAAAATTTAGACATATTATAGCAGCTTTATTTTTTTTGTTCACTTATGCATCTATTGTTCTATGACAAAAGAATGAGTATATGAAATTGTTTTTTTCCAGATTTCATAAGTTTTTCTTGTTATCCCTTTTATCCCTTATTTGCTATTTTGGTTTTAATTTCATTTCATTGGTGAATATGGGCCTCGTATCGATAGAATACTGAATATTCTACACCCTGCTCACTTTTTTTATATCATTATACGTTTTTTATTTAACATTTATATTGGCTCGGCAATTATGATTAGTAGTGTAAGCTGGGTGGCTATTATCTGCTATATGATAAAACTATTCTTTATGTATATGATTTTGTTAATTATACGTGCGTTATGATTTGAGTTTTTTAATGAAATATTGTTGGTAGTGTCTAATCGACGTGTGATAAAATTTAGATCTACGATCTGAATTTGTAATCTGAAAACATTGAAATACCCGAAGCCACTACGTAAATTCGAATTTCTAAGTCTTTATACAAAAACTATCATATCTTCTGTTATTGTTAACTATGAATGCTTAAGGGGAAGAGATCAGGGATTAACTGCTTATCATATTGGTTATATTGAGTGGAAAACTACAAGTGCAAAGTGGAAGTTCTTGAAATATGGGAATCAACAATTATACCACTTCAGGAAGTACAACCAGAATTGGAGATGGTATGGAGGGAGAAAGGGATATTATTGAGTCTCAAAATGAGAGAAGCTATCTTTTAAAGAAAGAAACCTCAGATTATGTACATGAAAATAGAGCTCACGAAGGATTTCAAGAGTATCAAGAATTGGGTTTCAACGAGGAAGCACAAAACATTCTTCCACCGGACATAGAAGAGCTACCAAGAGTCGTTAGAGAATCAGTTACTTTTGAAGATGATCCAGAAACTCCAGTATTTACGTTTCGCTACATCTTGTTATCACTGATTTTTGTTCCACCGGGAGCTTTTTTGGACACAATGAATTCATACAGAACTACCTCAGCTGCTTATTCCATATTTTTCGTTCAAGTTGCATCGCATTATTTAGGAAAATGGTTAGCTAATAATCTTCCTGATAAAAGGATAGACTTGAAGATTTTCAACTTTAGGCTCAATCCAGGTCCATGGTCCATTAAAGAGAATGTGCTTGTTACATTGACGGCTGCTAGTGGTGCTACTTCCAACTTAGGCACAACTCCAATATCAATGGCAGAAGTTTATTATAATGATATCACACCACCTTTAGTCGCTCTACTATTCATGTTGTGTATAAACTTGACTGGTTATTCATTTGCTGCTATTGCCAGAAACTTCTTAATTTATGATCCAAAGTTTATTTGGCCAAAAGCTTTGATGCAATCAAACTTATTCAACTCTATGAACAAATCTGACTTGAATCCCAAAAGTGTATCCAAACAAATGAGGATATTTTTTTATGGTATTTTATTTATGACAATTTGGCAGTTTCTTCCTGAATATATCTTTCCAATGACCAGCTCCTTTGCTATTTTATGCTGGCTCGGTCCTAAAGACCCCTTATTGAATTTTTGGGGATCAGGGCTTGGTAAAGGTGTTGGGTTTTTGAATATATCACTAGACTGGTCAAATATTGGCTCCAATGTCATGATCTCTCCATACTGGACTCAAGTTGTTAGCTTTGTTGCATTTGTTATCTCAGCATGGATCCTTATACCATTAGCTAAATGGGGACGTTTATCATCCTTCAAGTTCGGGTTGATGTCAAATAAACTTTTCAAGTCAGATGGTGAAGTTTATCCAACTTTAGACCTTTTGATTCGTGAAGGAAAGCAAGTTTATTTTAATGAAACTGCTTATGAAGTACATGGCCCTTTATATATGGGAGCACAGAAGGCATGGGGAACTTTTTTTTCTTACTCTTCATATGTATCAGCAATTACTTGGCTTTTGCTTTTCGGTAGAAATGATGTCAATGAAGCTTGGAATAAATTCAAGGAAAGATATCAAAATTCAAAAAACTCAGATCAGAGAGAATATATATCTATAAGTGAAACTTACACTGACAAGCTGAACAAAATACAGTCAGTATATCCTGATGTTCCTTTATGGTGGTATGCTAGTCTTTTTTTATTCACATTTTTTGTCTTGCTAACTATTTTTTTGAGTGGTCATATGTTCATCCCATGGTATACATATTTAGTTGCTCTATCGTTTGGGTCACTTATAGTTCTTCCTTTGGGATATCTTTATGCAATATCAAACTTTCAATTAGCAATTGGTTCGTTTAATGAATTAGTCTTTGGCTTGATGATTGAAAGACAGAGAGGAGGGAGACATCCATCATCAGCGGGAACATATGGTGCTATAGCTGGTGATGCCTGGTACCGTGCCCAATACATGTTACAAGATCAGAAGATTGGTCATTATATGCATATGAATCCAAGGCATGTATTTTGGTCTCAATTAATCGGACAATTGTTTGGGGTTCCCTTCAATTATTTTGCTATGAGATGGATACTTGATACCAAAAAAGATTATTTGAAAGGAACATTGAAAGATCCACTGAATCAATGGACTGGACAGAGCTTACAGAGCTATAACACAATGGCTGTCCAATATGTTCTAGTTGGCCCCACAAGAATGTTTTTAACTTCCCATAATAAACCGATCCTACTTGGTTTTGCTTTCGGTATATTAGCACCATTTGTTATCTATCTATTACACAGAAAGTTTCCCAGAGCAAAATTTCATCTCTGGAATATAACAGTGTTTAGCTCAGCAATGTCAGGATTTTATGGTAATATATCAACAGGTTACATTTCACAGATTATTATAGGTACCATTTCAATGTTTTACTTTTTCAGATATAGACATCAAGTTTGGGCAAAATATAATTATCTACTAGCAGCTGCTCTTGACACAGGCTTCAATCTTGCTATTTTGCTGATTTTCTTGTTCTTTAGTGACGGTAGAATGTCACACATGCCCAATTGGTGGGGGAATAATTCAGATTCAGTTGAGAGATGCTTTGCGTAGAGGGTTTTATAACTATATAAATGATCAAAATGATCCATATAAAAGGATAGAAACTAATAATTTTTTAGATGACCAGAAATCATCTACTGCCGTATATCGTGTAGTTATTGCTCGAACACTCTGTAGCTCTTGACCTGGATACTGGATCAAGGCAATTTATTAGAGCTATACGTAATTTTCATTTAGTTTGTTGGAAAGCGGATAATCGCGGCGATGTATAATATATCTATATACAGTGTGTGTTGTAGTTGTAGCTGCAGCCAGAACTACGTAGTAATATTACCCTTTTAATTTGAAGTATATCTATAAAGGTGTCAATGTTTTCAATGGTACTCAAGAAATGATTGAATCTCTTCCAATTTTTCCACAAATTGGATTTTTAGTTAGTGTCACGTGACTACCGCAAATGTCTCCAGACAAACAGCTCGAGAAAAGAATATAAGAAATCCTAAGATAGCTTAGTGGTTAGAACCATAAAAGCGATTTTAGAGCGCCGGAGGCTATGCCGAAATTTTCCGTGATAGTTTAGTGGCTAGAATCACCGTTTGTCGCGATTTTCTCGGTCCGAGATTTCAGACAGTACATGGTAGACCGGGGTTCAATTCCCCGTCGCGGAGGCCTTTTTTTTTGCATTTTCACCAAATTTTGGGAATGGAGTTCGTCAAGGGAACCCCATGAGTCCTTCAGTCTTTCTTCTAATTATAGCCCCAATGATCTTCAATCATAGAAGCAAAGTCAGAATTAGAAGTCCATTTCAAAATCACCAAGTATCAGATGTATCTTTTGCTGATGATGTAAATCTATTGATTAACAATAGAAAAGAACTAAACTCAGCTTTGAAAAATTTCAAAGATTATGAAGAAATTTCCAACATGAAAATAAACTTGAAAAAAAGCAACTTGATTCTTATAAAGGAACAATGTGATTATGAAGATGAATACGAGGATTGTCCATTAAACGTTATTAAAATGAAGTTTGCAAAAGATATAAAGTTTCTAGGTATGCCATTTAATGGTGAGAGTAACTGGGAAGAAACTTTAAGAAAATTCAAAGACAACTATGGTTTCCATTATTGACAAATGTGCCACTTAATACAAGAGTTAAAATGATGAACACTTATATTATGTCACAAATCTATGGTCGTGATCAACACCAACCACTTTCAGAAGAAGAGATAAACAAATTAGATAATATGATACAAGGTACACATTTCAAAAATGTCTGCAGCACAAAAACTTTAAAAGTATCAGAAGAATATGGTGGATTTGGTCTAATGGACTTACACATCCAAGTTGAAGGTAAAAGAGCTAAAAGAATTTACGAAATCATCATTGGAAATAATATGTATGATATTCATATCAAGGAAAGCTTACAATGGTTAGCAATCTGTGTTACAACAATGCTTGAAAGAGGTAAAGAAAATCTTGAAAATATTCAATGGTGGAATTACACC